CTTCTATCCACCTAGCATTTTCTGTAATTACACCATTGTTGCGCCAAATGATGACATTGTCGTCGAATTTACTGATTTCCAACTCGAACGCGGTAAGTTTTAATAGTCATCACTATCTTTTCAGATTCTGTGAAATACTATAGTATCCTTTTTATAATTATTATATCTTCATGGAACTTTTAAAAGTTTTAATATTCTCTAATCAGAGAATATTAAATACAGGAAAATACAGAGAATATTAAATAAATATATATAAATAAATATATTATATACAGGGCGTATATACAATAACTTCTGTTACTTTTAAATAATGAGAAATAAAAATAAACACATATATATATATACTTCTAATTTTTTTATTGTAACGAACAACTAGAAAAGTTTTTTACAAAAAATTGTCAAATTCTCACATGTTATCAAATTCTCACATGAGCGCCTTTAGTGGCACGAAGGATATATCGAGTTTTCGGTATTTCACTTCGCCAGATGCGCTGCAGCATGTCGTTAGTCATTGTAACAATAGCGGCCGCAATTCGGTTGCATAAAGCATTCATGTTTGGTGGAGAAAACTATATCTTTGATATACCTCTAGAAAAAAAAATTTAAAGGAAAGATATCAGGGGAATTAGCGGTCAGGGAATGGAATTCTTTCTTTTCTAATACAAACTTGAGCATATGTGACAAAGCATAAACAAAAAAGAAATTTATATTACCTGATTTTTAAGGCAATATTAAAACCCCGGAGATTCATAATGTATACTCTGCATAATGTAAAGCCAGATTTTTTTCATAAAACTACGACAATATTATGTTCGTGACATAAATTAATTTTATTATCTCAAAAGCTTTAAAATAAACAATATAATGAAAATTACAAAAATTACTTTTAACAAAAATTATTTTTAACAGCTCGTGGAGATTGTCGTTTTGACAATGTTACTATCATAGTATCGGAAAGGATATACATGATAGAGGAGGTAAAAACTTTTTGCGGTAACAGTAAACCACCACTTTTAAGAGCCATGTCACGAATAGAGATTATCTTCATGACGGACAAATATGTGCAGCGGAGCGGTTTCCAGTTTAAATATTTCCTCAATAGTAAGTCTCTCTAGAAGTTTCTTGTATATTAATGACAATTACGAAAACTAAAATATAAACAATATAATATAATTGTTAGAAAATATGATGAAAAAATACAGATTTGATGTATTGAGGAAAATTATTAAGACAATTAGAGAAAAAAAATGAAAAACCATAATGAAACTGTTGTAACTAATAGGATGTGGTGGTATTATCACAAAACCCACTGAGCTTAAGCCTTTGATGCATGGAGAAGAATACTTTGGACGTATGAATTGCACTTGGGTCATTAAAGCGCCTCAAGGCAAGAGTGTACTTGTACGCTTCGAGAAGTTTATTCTAGAGTTCAGCACAAAGTAAGCTTTTCACAAATCTATGTCAGCGAGTTTCTATTAAAAATTTTATTAAACTTTTATCATTAATTTGCAGTTGTTATTTCGATAATGTCGCCGTTTACGAAGGTGATTTTATTAATCCGAACAAACGAACTGCTCTGGTTTGCGGTAACTTGACTGGTAATTTACCAACATTTAAATCCGAATCTAATTCCATGGTCGTTAACTTTAATGCTGATAGTTCAAGGCATTTCGAAGGTTTTACAGCCAAGGTATAAGTCTGTTGTACTAAATGTCATTCCGAAGTTATGTTTGATTTAATAATAATAGTATCCTTTTCATATAATTATCTGCTATCTCTTTTGCAATCCACTTTATTGATATATTTTCAATTAAATTAAAAATTATAATTATAATTATAACTGTGATACTAATAATGAGTTTTTTTAGGTGTTATTCACGACAAGTCCAGCCGGTGGTTGCGGAGGATTAGTCAATTTAACTTCGATTCAATCTGAATCGTTTAGAACTCAACAGGAGGCAACTTATCAACCATTCGAAGAATGCCACTGGACTGTAGTGACATCTTTAGCCAAAAGTATATTGTTTACAATTAATAGCATTGATATCAAGAACTCAATTAATAATATTACTCAACGTGATAAATGCAACGGTGATTATCTCGAGGTAAATATTTGCGCATCTGATACATCTACGTCTGGTACTTTTAGAAATGCTGATAATAAGATTGTATATTAATATTGTACTTTAATATTTACTTACTTTTCCTTGCAACATCATTTGTAAAGTAACAAGATTATATCTGACTTTAATACACACACACGCACGCACGCACGCACGCACACATATAATATTGCAAGAAAAAAGAATATATAGAAAATATTAGTTCAATAAAATTACAATTATATTAACATATATTATAAAAATAATGTGTGTTTTATTGTTCTCAGGTTCGAGATGGTGGTGGACCTTATGCCGATCTTATTGGTCAATTTTGTGGTAATTCAGTGCCATCTCCCATGATATCTACTTCAAACAAATTATGGATTAGATTTTATACTGACGGTGTTACTGAAGGTGCCGGTGCAACAGCCACATTGAATACTGTCGATTGTAAGAAATTTTATACTTTATCAATTGTCCTAATATCACTATATTGTATATAAAACAAAATGTACCTGAATGTATTTGTTTTTATGATAAATTTTATTTGTATATCTACAATTCATATCTCCTTTTTATTAAAATTTTTGTGAAACACTTTTAACAAATTTAAAACATAAATGTTACAAAGATGAAACTTTCTTGAATTTTTATTTAAATTTTACTTTATCAATGTTCTTTCTTTGATGACTTTTCTTATGTAACTTTCTTGCAGCATTGTGCAGCTTAAGTACTCGATTAGTAAACGAAACAATTCGTGTACTTACTTCGCCGGATTATCCAAACACGCATTTAGCTGGAACACTATGTCGTTGGACTTTGCAATTTGCCGATAGATATAGAGATAGAATGCGAATCCGATTTATAGATTTTGATTTGGCGGATTCTAACAAATGTGAAAATGAGTATCTAGAAATTACTGAGGAAAAGGTAAATACTGATATAAATATTACTATTAATATTATATATTAAAATAATTATTCTAATGATTGATAATAATATCATTTTAAAAATATAATTACTCTTAATATTAAAAAATAAATATTTCTAAAAAACAAATAATAAAAAATTAAACTGTTATCTTTTTTTAACAAACAGAAATATATAAATGAAGGATTCGGGACAAACTTTATTTATAGTGGCGGAAGAAGCCACCCAATTACCGTCGAGATGGTAAGTTTTCTGCATTAGGAACTAATGCGTTTCGTTTTGCTAGTAATCCACATTTATATTACACACATAAAATATCTTATTTTATGTTATCTTTTAGGGTAGCCGGTTACCTTTCGCCTCATACAAATATTGTGGCAGTGAATTACCACACGATTATTACAGGTACCTAAACTTATCTTCATTAGTTCATTACAATGATTTTTGAGAATTATTTCAAATTGAATATTCTCTCTTATTATAGTTACAGCGACAAGGTCAAAATAACATTTAGATCAATGTCCAACAACCATAAAGGTTTTAAGCTGGAATACAGTACAGCGAATTGCGATCGAAATTACACGAATGAGCAGGGACGAATCCTTCATAATGGATTTACAAGCTGCTGGATCACAATCACTGTTCCAGCAAATCGTACCATTTCTTTGTACTTCAATCATTTCAGCATTTACGACCCAGAGCAGTGCACGCGCAACGCGCTGCAAGTATGTTCCTTTACACTTGCTAAGGAAATCATGTTTGAGAGAATACAGAAATTATTCAATTTACTTTGAAAATCCGTGTGACGTAAAACGTGTATTGATACGCGTTGTAAGTTCAAGTTCTAAATAGATTTGTATATTTCACAGGTACACGAGGGTGACTCAAGTGGACCGCTTATAACGACGCTCTGCAGCACGGCAATGCCAAGCCCGATTTTCAGCTCTGGCAACAAACTCACTTTGCACTCCTGGACCGAGAGCGCCAGCTCTTATCAAAGTTATGACATCATTTACACGACCACGGATGCAGGTAGGACGCGTTCGTGGCAGCGTGCACAAGTCCTCTCTCATTGCATCCGATTAATGTACGCTACCAGATGCGGAGAAATTATAACGCGCGGGGGATGATTTACGATACTGCGGCACCTCGAGATACGCGCCATGTGAAATGTTGCGGTTTATTTTCGCGGGAGACCGCACGAAAATCCGATTGCGATCTCGCGGCATTGCTTCAGACACCGTGCGAGTTATAACACAAACGAAATGTATACGCAGATCGGCTCGCAGCGTCGTTTTCATATAAAACATCTCAAAATCAAAATTACGCAGGTCGAGGTTGCGGCGGTCGTATATTCAATTACGGTGGCAGATTCACCTCGCCATTGTATCCCCGTACGTATCGCAACAATACCGTATGCACTTGGGACGTGAGCGTACCGCAAGGCTTTAAGATCATTCTTCAATTCCTTGTCTTCGACATCGGCACGAAGAAGAACTGCAGCAACAATAATCTCAAAGTTTACGATGTCGTCCCTAGCGGAGAACTTTTACGTAGCACGTATTGCGGTGGAGTGAGTGATTTCGTAAAATAATTTTCAAATATCGCTGTCGATAAAGTCTATCATTAAAAGAACTGATTAGAGAATTTTTTTATGAAGAATCTGTTATGTATAATAACTATGATTTTTTATTTTTCTTTAAATTATATTTCAAATGTTTCTTAAAATCTTATTTTCATAAAATATGTAATTAAACATATTTTTACAATGTATTTAGTTATATAATATAAAATTAAATATATTTTAATTATGCAAGTATAATTAAAGTTATTTTTTGTCTAGGACGATCCAGCGAGACTTGAGGCTGATACCAATCGAGTTCTTGTTAAATATACTTCGACAGTGAACAATATTGGATCAGGATGGATAATTGTATTCATGGCACAATCAACTGGTAAGCATAAACATTTGCCTTTGCACGATGAGAATTTATATTCTTTTATGGAAACCACAAGTCACATAGATATGAGGTAAAAGATAATAACGAATAAAGATAATTACGAATTATGTTTTCAGTGCATCCCATTGATGTAATAGAAAATTTATAAAGGAGACATCAAGACTGTAAAAAGTAATGTTTTTAAATTTAGTGGAAGATATTCTAAAATTTATGTATAATTTACTATAGATATATAAAATAAATAAATTTGGCTGTTAGAAAGCATTATGTTCGAAATCTTCATAATATAATATTATCATTAATATATAAATATTTATTTAAAATATTCGTAACAATATTATTATTAATATATGAACATTATTATAATATTATCATTAATATGAATGTTATTATTTTGATGCTACACATCTCTGCTCTTCGTCATCCATAGAGCATATATTTGGATGTGCTCTTCTTCGTAGACAGAGACAGTAAATGACAGATTGTATTTTCTATCCTTCGTTGTACCAAGTGTATGACGAGCATGCTCGAACAAGATATGTTCTCTGATGTACAAGACATGTTCAACAGTTTCAAATGTGTCATGCAATGTCATTTTAATCTATAGGTTTTAAATCAATAAATTTTGCAAAAATGATAAAACAATGTGATGTTTATTAGAGTAAAAATGACAATCTTTCTTTTAATTTATAAGTATTTAACAGTATTATGATTTCTCTGGTAAAAAATTTAAATTATTTATTTAAATTATTTCATGTTTTGAAACACTTTTTTTAAACGAAATTTTAATATAATTTTTAAAAAATTAATTAAATTTGAAAACATTGCACACTTTTTTAGCTTTTATCAATTGATTATCTATATGCTTCATCATTGCACTGATGTTTGCGCAAGTGATTCATTTCATTTTAACAGAAGGATAGAAGATTATATTTTCTCACTTTATCAACTTAGTTCTCAGAAAGCGTATCCAGATACGTGAGATCTATGTCGTCGTTAATTGGAATTGAAAGATCTTCTTTATCTATTTCGTTCTCATTTGTTTCAATTTCATTTACATTGTCTTCCTCTATAATAAAATTTTCTTTCACTGGCTCTTCCTCAGTTTCTTCTTCTTCTTCTTGCACTATTTCACGCTTTTTTATATTTTTCTTGCACTCCTTTGATGTTTCTTGAGTTTTATCTTTTTTTGTTTTGTCGACAGTTTCTTCTTTCCCGGAATCTGCAGATGTTATATCAGCTTCTTCTTCTTGCGCTACTTCACGCTTCTTTCTATTTTTCTTGCTTCTCGTCGATATTTCTTGAACTTCCTGTTTATCCGTCTTTGTCTTGCTCAGAATGTTTTCTTGCTCAGAATCTGTAGATGTTACATCAGTTTTGAATAATTCTTCCTTTTTTCCTTTAGATTCTGTGTTCTTGGATACCTCTTCCTTTCTCTTTTTCCTATCATGTTTTGTCTTTCTTTCGTTTTTATGAACAGCATCGTTAACTTGTTCAGAATTATCTGATTTGGAGTGCTTTGTTTTCCTTCTTGGAACGTCATTATTTGGATTTTCTACTTCCTCATTATTTTTCGATTTCTTCCTATGTTTCTCCTCTTTTAAGCTTTTCTTCGATTTTTGATGGACTTCAGATCTTTGAGGATCTTCAAGTAATGTTTCGGATTCTTTTGATCGCTCTTGAGCATTTTTATCTTTCTTATTTTGCGTTCCTGTTTTATCTTTCAAGTATTTTAATTTCTTTTCGATATTTCTATTTCCTTCTTCATTTATCATGTCACCATTTTCTTCACGTTTGGTCCGCTTGTTTTTCCATTTCTGTTCTGGTTTATAAGAATTTTTCGCATGTAAATGTTTTTCGGAAGGGTCTTCATTATTTCGTTCTGAGCTATTTTTCCTTTTCTTCTGCTCTTTCACATGTTTGTCTCTTTTTTTGGATTGTTTATCCCTAAAAAATATTTCAATTATATAGAAATTTAGTTATATAGTCAATCTTTAATAGAATCAACATTTCTATTAAAAATACAAATTTAAAATAAATAACAAACATTAATCAATCGAAATGGCTAAAACTAATGATTTATTTATTTAGGTATTTGTTTAGAAAACGTAAAAAGTTATAAAGCTTATCCAAAAGTGATAATTAAATTTGCTACACTGAAAAAATAAAATAAAAATGTTGAATATATGACGAGAATTTGAATAAATGTTCCTATTCTGTTCATCGGTTACTTACTTTGTACGGTATTCTACATCGACCTTTCTCTCTTTTTCACCATCGTTTCTTGATTCCACATCCTTACTCGATTTTTTTGCAGAAGTTTCCGCAACGAGTATTGCGACTAATAAGAATGCAGTCAATAATATCCACAATCTGTACAGATAAATTTAATCTTTTATTTCATATTCTTATCAGAAATTTTGAGACGTGTGAGATTAAAAATTAATTTTGTCTATTCTAATTTATTTTTCATAAACAAACAAGAATTAAACATTTTATTCTGAATTAAATTTAATTAGCAACTCTAATATACAACGATTAATTTATACTTCTTCGTAAAATTTGAAAACATTTTAAAATCTAGTTGTGTATAATTTGAAAAATCATAAAAGATCATCACACAAAGAGCAAGTTAAATATCTATTTCATTCTTGAAATAGATATTCTTTAGTTTTCAGAAAACCTTTTTCTTACCTCATTGTGATAATTATCTGTATCAATTGTATTTGATCGCACTTTGAGTTTCTTCCCGCACGTATCACGGTCTAGCCTAACACTATCTCTGCTCGGATATTACTTGCCTCTTATATCTTATACGTTGTCATCAAAGATATCTTGATAAATACAACGAATGTGGTACACTCACGTCAGTGATTTTGCGAATTCGATATCACATGCTATCTATAGGAAATCTTCTGGGAAGGACGGAAAATGTTTTAACGTTAATGCGCAACGAGATTCAAATACGAATATAACACTTTGATTAAATTCACATATAATCGCAGACATGACCTGAGATGTTTTAAAATGCGATACTAAGGTGATAAGCACTATTTTCTCACATATATCTATGCTTCCATTAGATATATGTATTTTCATGTAACATATCGGCTAACTTTCATAGTTAAAATTATATATAATTCATATATTTCAATCGCGGTGGATATCTTGTTCTGCGAATATCTAATCTAATGTCAACAGCAAAATTGACTGACAGTACACAGCTTCTGACGTTAATAAGTACTTTAATAAGACGTTAATAAGCACACGACAGTAAAGGTAATAAACAACTTTTACGTGCTCATTTACGAGAAGTCTTGATAAAATTGTAATGAAAAAAAATATCTTATGACGTCTGTAAATGAATTAATACTAATAAATTTGAGTGTATGATAATTATAATACTCTCTTAACAAAAGCTACATAATTCGATAATGCCTTTTTTAACCTTTTAAATTTTTAACGATAAATTTCAAGTATTACAAAGATAAATATAATAATCCTATAATCTCTTTCCTTTCTTATTAAAAATGGTATGCCTTTTTTTAAATATCTGTCTTAAAATTATATCACATCGTAAATTGTTAACTGTTTTTTATCGAAATTATTATTTCAAATAAATAATGAGCAACAGTTACACTCTTCTAAATAACAACATATGATATGCTTTTTAAATTTTCTCAATATCAAATTTACTATAAAATTTCTAATAATATAATTATAAGATCTCTTTGTTTCTTTTCTGTTCCTACTAAAATTATATTCAGCTTTATCAAAATTAATATTATAAATAAATTAAATATATGCATAGAGTTAAAGTAAATTGATTAACAATTTATTGACAAAAAATAAAATTGTACATTTCTCAAAATCATTTTATTTAATAAGATGTGTAATAATGAAAATGTATTAAAAATAAGCGAAAAAGAAAAATTGTATTATTTGAACGGAACAAGTATTTGTAGTCAAGAAATTTAGATCATGAAACGCAACTTCTTTTATTTATATTAGGATAAAACGTGCTCGTTGTATAAAATTATTATTTAATATTTATTTTCTACAAATAAAGTTTATCTAAATAAAAAATTGCCTTAACGAATACTTTTTGTACCTATTGTATGTTCAAAATAAAATTTCAAGTATTAAATTGTTTCAATTATAGACGTGTTTATTACCTGTTTTCACTTTTTATACTATTAATATCTCAGAAATCATTTACTGTTTTGTTATTTATCAAGCAGATGACATCTTATAACGACGATTTAAGTTTACAGATTCGAAACTGAAATTCTCGGTATTCTCACTTTAATTCTTAAACAATGCAATCAATCTTGCGTCTTTGTTTTGTATAAACTGAAATATACGTCTCATTTCTAAGAAGAAATTTTTTGTAAAATTTAACAAAATATCTTCAACTGTTCTACTGGTTACATAAAAATTTAAATAATATAGTCACTACATTTTTGAATATTTTTAGTTGAACAACGAAATGAATTTTTCAAAACCCGAAATGGGCAACGTGAGAGTATAGGTCGTTCATGGAAATTAGGTAATATTTATTATCGAAAGACAGTAATTAATTACTTATTTGGAGCACTAAAAATCCTCCATGAATAACAGAGTCTTTAATATTAAAAATACATAATTAATTAGTGTTTTTTGGTATTGGCCAGTATATTATTTCTGTAAAAGCGGATAGTATAGAAAGTCATAAAAGAATTCTATTTTTCATGATTTACCATTTACAAAATGAATTTCTGTTTCGTTCCATTTCTGTTCTAAAAGTATTGAACGAGAGTCAATATTTCGCTTTTATGTCGTTGTGAGTTCTTTTTCATATTCAAAATATATCTATTTTTTTCCAATCCCTTTCTATTTCTTAATTTTATGTGTACTTTATTGTATAAGAATAAATCATATTTTATTTTTTATACAAATTAACTATTACTCTTATTACAAGTAGCATTTGCACAAGTATCCATATAAAAATACATATTTATGAATTCTTTTCTAATTCGTTAAATAGATTACATTAATTCATAAAGGATTTAAGAAGGCAAATACTTTCCGAGTTTAAAATGGATCAGTTGTGGGGCTGTTTGAAAAAAGAAGAATTGAAAAGGAATAGAATATTCGGAAAAAGTTAATTTCGTAGAAAAATATATTTGGAAACGGCGAAATAAATCGACGGTTGGCGCGCGACCTTGATGTTTGTTTTTTTTTGCGACGCGCGCGGGGTACCTACTGCGTGACGTCATACCGAGCCATAGTTGGCGACTCTACCATTTGCGCGGCGTAGTTCGAGCGGGTAGGTAACGACGCATATCGCTCCGTGAATTATTAATTCCCTCCAATCATTCGTGATCATTGGCTACGAATAATGTTTTTATTCTCAAGATTACGAGGACGATTAGATCCCCATGACGAACGATCGTATGCGTATTGAGGTGAGACACTTTTCGCCGTTCGATCATAAAGCAACCTTGATGAAAATAAAAATCAGAACATAAATCGAATGTAATAGAAGAGTAACAGAAGTGTGAACGAAATTTCTAGAAGGCGAAAATTGGAACAATGAAATGTAATAAAAGAAGCATTTACACTTCTGTTGCATCTTGATGTTTCAATTTTCGCTTCCTAGAAGTTTCGTTTATACTTTTGTCACTCTCCCATTACATTCGACTTACGCTCCGATTTTTATTTTCATCAGGAAGTAGATAATTTCAAAGGAGATAGATTATAGAAACGTTGAATCGCTGTTTCGCTATGATATCTGTATTCTGTGATAATTGTGTCTTTGCGGTTCGCAGATTATCTAAATTCCAGAGTATCTTGCATTGTGTCAATAGAACTGCGAATTTCGACCGTTTGGCCAGCTTTGTAACCGATCGTTAAATTGACTCGCGTAGTGTTGCGTGAAGTTAGCTATAGGTGCCTTTGAATTCATCGGCCATTTGCTAAACGCTGCAAGTGCGAAACGGATCGGCTCCGAATTAAGGCTCCTATGTTCTTTTAACCGTAACGATATCGTTGTATTGTTACAAAGTTTTTTTTACTCTGTACAAAATCTACGCAACGAGATAATTATATGATATCGGATTATATATCTTCCATTTAGTGACACAAGTCGACTCTGTCTTTCTTTGCATGTGTAATGATATTTTTGACTTGTGTCGCTAAATGTAAGTGGCACTCATTGTTATTGCCATTAAGGCCTCTATCCTGCAATTTTTAAAAACAGATAACGATATCGTTACGTAAGTAAAAAAGTTGTGCAATAACGTAACGATTCTGTCATTAAATATTATGGAATAGGAGCCTAAAGTGATGTGCCATGCGGTTTAATTAGCCGCAGTTGATCTGCCACTTTGATAATTCTCCATTATGCAAGGTGAATTCGGAGTAACTCGACTACCCGCGGTAACTCGAAAGCATAGAATTCTACACCGCTCGATGCTCTTCCATTAATTTCATTCCACTAATTTACGAGACATCACGAACTGATAATAGCTTCATACGATCCCATATTTTACCGCGTCACTTTTCCGTCGTGACATAGCGATATGCGTCGCGTGTCATCAATTTGGAAGTGTCGTACCATACGATTATCGTATTTTGCTAATTAATATGTGCCATCGTATGTAATTAATTATTCGCGAGTGAGTGTTGTGTGAATATTACGAATCTGAAGAAACAGGAAAATTTGAGAGGAGGACGAGGCCCGGGGAGGCATCGGGCAACGGTGGAGCAACTATAGAGTGAGTAATTTATGTATTGCTGTTCTTTTTAACTGAACTTCTTAGATTTTAGATAATTCATGTTTTCTCTTTTCCTCTATGCAAAGAAAAAAAGGAAAGATGAATTGTGTAAGAAAAAGATCTAATATTTCTTATTTTGGCTAAAAATAACAGGCTTTATTATTTATTTTTAAATTGTAATTATTTGCATTAGAGCAATATTGTATTCGCATAATATTTTGATATCAATTATTTTGGGCGTTGTGATAATTTGAATAAATTTGTTTATCTTACAGATCGACACAGTATTGAAATGCAGTTACAACTCTGCCGTTGCGCATCGTACCTGTGAGTCAAGTTTCTTTTCATTTTATTTGAATGTGAAGGAATGGATCAAAAGGGAAAATGTATGACAAATAAATATAGCCATCTCTTGCGGATTCATTGCTTCAAAATTGATTGATATATTTAATTCTGGAATATGTGACATCATTTATGATTCGATTTATGGTACATAGGAAAATGCACAACAATGAGATTATAACATAGAGCTCGAAATATCATTTACTCTCATAAATTTGTATCTTCTATGACAGAATATGTAGAAGATATATTAGACTGTTAGAAATTCATAGAACAAATTACGGATAATGAATGAATAAGAGGAAAGATAAAAAATATTTTACAGATAAATCAAACTTGGGAAAAAATGATTAATGCTAAAGTAATTTTTGCAAGAAATTGTTTTCAAATTTGATGAATATCTCTGATATTATCTTTTATGTTTTTTAATTAAGCATTTTAAGATTTTTTTTTGAGATTTTATAAAAATCCTAGATATATTAAATTTAATTAAATCTTTAATTTTATTAATGAAAGCATGAAGAGAAAAAAAGTAAAATTCAATTATAACATATTTTTACAATATAATGCTTTTACTTTAAGCTTTTTGTGTATCTAAATATATTTCATAGGTGATAAAGATCAAAAGAAAATGAAAAAAAAATTATTAGATTGTTTTTGAAAAATTATTTGTTTGTTGTTTAGATGTGGCTTATTTTATTTTCTTTTTTTCTTCTCAAAAATTTCAGTTGAAATATGAGGTTTGTGTTTGACTTTTATATATTGTCTCTCTTCCAGAGTTAAATATTATATAAACTGATGCACACAAGAAAGAGAATATATAAACATTTTTAATAAAGATATGGCACACAAAAGTAAATAGAATAATTGAAAATTTTTAAATAACATATTCCAGATAATTTAATAAAATTAACATTATTTACTAATTCTATAGATAAGAAACAAGTTAATGATTAATTGCATTCATTCCTATAATGTGCTATGTTTCGTCTTACTCTCTTTTTTGTAATATTTCTGT